TTCATGCAGAGGAAGGCTTGTCTGAGGATTTTGCAGACTTGAAATGCTAGACTTTGCAGGTGGATGGGGTGCCAAGCTTGGAGGGTCTCAAACTGGAAGTCAAGGAAATGGAGAAATGAAAATGGTGATTCTTAACAGAGAGAAGACTTAAAGTGACATTAAACCCTCAGATTTTTAAACATAAAATAATACTGTAATGTGTGCCTTACTGTAATCCATGGTAGTTTCCCTTCTCTTTGCTGCTCTTCCTTTTAAATCTGTATCTGTTCTCATGCTCTGCAGAACTGTTTTTGCAGCAGACTGCCTTGTCTCAGGAATGGATATACGGTGTCAGTGTATTAGTTTCTATAGGCTTGTAACCTGAGCCAGCACTACAGGAAGAGGCCCTGAGCTGCAAAGGGAAGTTCTGCAGAGCATGAGAAGACATGATGATTTAAAAGGAAGAGCAACAAAGAGAAGGGAAACTACCATGGATTACAGTAAGGCACACATTAGAGTATTGGTTTATGTTAAAAAATCTGAGGGTTTAATGTCACTTTAAGTCTGTTCCTTTAACGTCTTCCACTGAGAAAGATTGGTGTCCTTGCCCACACTAGCATTCTGGATGAGTTTCAAAAGCTGTACTGTAGACATTGTCCCTTGAAGGCCATGCAGATTAAACTTCTTGCACAAAGGTTTTGCAGTCCACCACTTTGGCCACAGTGCCCCAAGCATATGCACCGAGATAAGGCAGGAAGCTTCCAGCAAGCCATCACAGCTAACATTTAACATTACAGCCCTCTGCACCAAGTGTTCCATAAGCAAGGAATCAACAGATGTCTCTAAAAAAATTTGATTAATCAGTCAATGTTTGACAAAGCAAAGCCACAGGAAGCATCGGGTGAAGGGCAGGACCTGCCAGCAAGGTCAGAGCTCTGGAAAGGGCTTCTAAATGCTTATTGGTTGGCTCCTCAAAGACCGTTGCATATTTCACCTGTATGTTATGTGCCTTGTTAAGACCAGACACTTTTAAATCCACTGTGGGAATAGACCACTTCTGCACAAAATAGATACCAGGCTAAGCGCTCGAGGTGAGCAAACAACTTCTTGGAAGTTGGAAAATGGGTACAAAGAGCAAGTATTTCAGGCCTTTGGACTTATAAATGATCCAAGACTGCAAACAACACTTGTAGAAGCAATAGGCTGATCCTCTAGTTACAGAGTGGTGCGCAGGGCATCACTGTCACTGCAGACATCAAAGTCACCGAGGGCAGGTAGCAGGAATGGATGGAAGTTCCAAATGACTCTTTGCAAGCAAAGCATATACTAAGCCAATAAATATTGGTGAAGTAAATCAGTGCACACTGTGCAGGACTGAAGAGCTTTGTAGTGTGTATAAACATGTTGGATGCCCTGGACATTCTGACCCTGTGTTTCAGCGTTATGCAATTGTTTGTAGATAAAAGGTCCGTATGCTTTCATACATATGCTATTTGATGCTCATACTTCATGGAGGACGAAACAGTTGTTGAAAACAAAATCTGTCTGGCTGTTTGATACAGGAGTACCAGCTTTGTGTACACTAAGATTTCCCAACATGTTCTGGACATTATCTCAATGATTACAAGATGACAAAGTGCAGTTTTCAGGAGGAAGAGCATGTGTTTGTAATGAGTAAATATGGCTGTTCACAATATGATATGACATTGTATATAGAAATGTATTTTTTACACACACATTAATACCATGCATCCCATTTAAAATCAGTATATAAACAGGATTGATGAAATGTTTTTAGTTTTACAGAATTAAAAATATTCAAACAGGTTGGTAACGTATGTAAACAAGAATCTCTTACATAATAAAACAATAAGTAGTGCGATAGTAAATGTGGACAGAAGAGGTCCATTTATGGTTTGGACTGGATTGTGTGCATGCATTTACTAACTTCCCACAAAGGAATGGAAACATGGAACAATAAGAAAATCTGTAAAAGCCCAGAGATTTCCTTTATGTGGTACACTAGTCTTCACCTATTCTGTATTGTGGCCATCATTGTATTCATGCACCATGAAAATAATTTGAATTGCATGGTATTCTCCATAGCCATGGCACAAACCACTTAGCACTCGCTCAATACATAGAGGAGCTATCATGTACCCCTATTGGGCATGATTATGCAAATGCAATTTAAAGAATAATTTTGTAAATAAAACCGCTATGGTATATACAATGGATGTAGATATGACTCTTATGGAGTCCTCCAGGACCTTTAAATGTCTATTACATGTATACACACGTGCTCCTTCCATTGATAGATGTGGATTAAGCTGATCAATAGGACGGCCCTTTTTCAGATAAATATAAAATACTTGATGTTAGTGCTGCTATGCTTTGGCGTAAGACATAGTAAGAGATGGAGGGTGTGAAGCAGGCAGGTAAGATACCACCTTTAGACTATAGGGTCAAGTTATATTTGTCCTATGGATCTTTGCATTCTGTTTGTAAATGTAAACCTTGCAATAGAAAATGAGTTTCAGGTTTTGGCACTAAACTTCTAAAAAGAGGAACAATTTTCTCAGCATCCTTCTGTTTTTTTTTTTTTTTTTTAAGAAAAGCTTTTATAACATTTCCTAGTACCATAATTAAATTTTGAATATGAGCCAACATGAATTACAGTGCAGCAACACAATATATTATAAGGAACAATAGAGAGAGGGATGATTTGAAGCTGGAAGCACAGCAATGCCTCAAGTGATCATGTGGGTAACAGAAGGCCCTTCACTACAGAAATAATGCCTAGTTTGCTGTTTGGCTGGCAGCATCAATGCTTTACTGTACAATCCTGGCGAATACACACAGATCTTTTTATTTATTGATCAGGACAAGGAAATAAAATGACTTCCTTTACTAGATCAAGTATAGCAGGCTTGGACAGATTACAAATTAAGTTAGAAGCTGCAACCAAAAAGCTTAGCCCAACCATACATTGAGAGAATGGTGGCTGCTGTGAGAACTTCACCTATATTTATTTACATCACCACACTGTGAGAATCTAGGTGACTGCACTTACAACTTCACAGCTGCCACTATTTGTGTGCAATTGTTAGACTGATGGTTCCTTTCCATGGAGGAAAAACAATAAATCCTGGATAGCCACAAATATTCTCCAAAAGACTGGACAATCTCTGCGTGCTATAATGAGCAATTGGTTCTTAAGCATTTACCCCTAAACAGAAGTTTGCAAGCAATACTCCATTTGGTTGCACTGCTTAAAGACATCAGGCTGTTTATGGCTGACTTTAGAATATGCTATATTGAAAAAGTATATACTTGATATACTTTGAAGACCGTGCAGACATTACAAGAAGCAGCATAGAAAATACCCAAAGCTAAATTATTTCCAGTTACTGTCTACCGCAGATGAAACAAATGTAAACTATACAATTTAAGTTGCACCTCAGCAATAAAATAAGTAGGCTAGTTCAGTCAATGGTTTTACCTCGTCCTTTAGTTTCAGATGGTGAGTCATTGTAAGAACACATTGTAAACACTAGAGGGTCTTATCTTTTTCAAAGGAAAGAATGGGCTTAGTCTGCGTTTCATGAATTGGATTATTTCTCAATATTTCATGCTATAAAGTGAGCTTCCCTGGTTCTGATGTGCAATATTGTACAAATCAGTCATCAAGAAAAGCAGTTCAAATGCAGCAGAATAAGACAAACTTCTGCATTTACATAAAAGAAAAGCATTGGCAAACAGCAAAAGACTCAAAAAGTAAACGCTTCTCTATAGGACCCAAATCAAATTGCATCCAAGTCATTCCAGATCCCTCCATAAACACATCAGAAGCAAAAGAAAACAAAAATGCAGGTAACCCCTAAAGCAACTCACCATCCGAACCTACTTAGAAGATCTGCCAACACTACTAAAGCCTATGTAGATAGACAAATGCAGCCTGGCTTTGACATCAGTTTTAGATGCTTCTCATATCATTCAGATTTCATTGAAATGAACAGTTTACCTCCTTCTGACCTCCATTGGATAGCCTTCTAAGCTGCAAGAATCTACTTCAAGCTGCAGTTACAAGTCGATGGGAATGCATGGGGAGGGAAGCAGTTTTGATGTGAACAAAAGAATAATTAACCAGGCACTTAGCATTGTTGAGTTCACCCATTAAGATTGCAAACAGCACTCAGGATGTGCAAGATGCTAACACACAGGCACTCAGAAATACTTTATTTGGAGATGGGGTGTGACCTGTGAAACGGGATTCATTTGCAATTTTTCTACACTTCTGGGTGTCTATAATACTTGCTCACCCACCGGTTGCTGTAGTCACTCCTGCTGGCTTGTATATCCTGCAGTAACATAAGAGGAAATATTCAACTCATCTAGCAAGCAGATATGTGGTGTCTTAACAATAAAAAAATACAAAAAAATCCCCCACAGGATTTAGGAGAAGGTAAGTATATTCATGTTTCTGTTACAGGAGACTTTATGGGTAAAGGTGACACTGTGGTGACATGGTCACTTTATTCATTATGTAATTTAAGCAACAGCTAGCTGGTGTAACTATTTTTGGGTAGTAAAAGGCAGACAAACAGCAATAAGCTAAATGCAGTAAACCCATCCTTCAGAATCCATTGCTGCACTAATCCTATGTATGTTGAATGACATTGCTCAGCGCTCCAGAACTCTGCACCTCAACATAACATGCATTTTGTTTTTGCACAGCATTGATGAGATCGAAGATCTGCTAGACAGCAGACGCTCTGATCAGAAAAGTGGTGGTTAGGCACAGCCATGCAATGATAACAATCGTTTAGCTGAAAGAATGGTTTCTGACAGAAACCAAATAAATGATTTTGGTATAAATGATAATTTGTGGACCTAAAGGATAAATCAGACCTGTTAAAAATCCCCAATGAATTCAGATAAGTCTTGGTGGAATCATACCTATGATTGTAAAGTGTATAGCTGGCATACATTGTCAGTCACAACTGACACAATATTGGCATACCTACCCAATGTAATGGTACGTGAAGGAGATTTTAGATATTTGTCTACAACATGTTTTAGATCAGGACTAAGCAAACATTTATGGTAATATCACAGCTAACATGTACTAACACATGCTGTCAAAACAAAGGACAAGATTAACAGTGTTCTAATCTGTGTGAAAAAAAAGACAAAAAGTATAAATGACAAATTGTCATCACTAAAGCATAATGGCCAAGCCTGTTTAAAAAAAATATTCTCATTGTGGTAACACTAATCAAAGCTGTGAATGTTTTATGGGACTTTTTTTCTGTTACTCTTCCTTCTTCTTTCTAAACGAGAGGCTGTCTTTGGTTTCCTGTAACTTCTCAGAAAGTCTATCTTTTGTTTCTTCCATCTTTTCAGAGATCATGTCCCTGGTTTCTTCCATCTTCTCTGTGAGTCGTTCTTTTGTCTCCTCCATTCTGTCCTGGATATAGTCTTTTACTAATGGAGGGGTAGTCAGGTAGCCATATTTGCGGAGATATTTCACACTAATGGAAGTTCCTCCTAACGTTACAGTATAACGGACTGGTGTTGCAATCTAGACAAGAAAAACAAAATTTTCCTTTAATTCGAGAATTAATGTATACTGTAAAAATACTGACTGAACAACAGAAAGACCTGAAATAACAGAAAACTCTAATAAAAGGCAATACACATAGTTAGCCAGATTTGTATCTGGATACACAATTTGCTATAAAGTTGTATTTATTACTTTGTAATGATTATATATTTCTTTCAATGACTTAAGCATCCACTGAACTCCCTTAGAAATGCAATTTGCTTTCTACAGTATGTTTGAAAAGATGCAGCAATTGATGTATCCATGGTTTATTCACAGCTACCAACAAACATAATATTTTACACAGGATACAGTGTACAGTTCAAAAGCCTGTACAAACCAGGGATGCACCGACACCATTGTTACAAGACGGAGTACGATTTTTCTTAAACAATACAGACTAATGATTTCATGACAGTGGTAGAGGGCCAGGGCCCCTGGTAGTTCTGCCACTGACTCCAGGCTGTAGAGGGACTACAAATCTCAGTTATACATTATACAGCAATGCAAAATACCACCAGCTACAGAGGACTACAAATCCCAGCAATACATTATACAGCATTGCAAAATACCCCCAGCAAGGACTACAAATCCCAGCGATACCTTATGCAGAAATGCTGAATGGCAACTGGTTATAGAGGACTACAAATCCCAGCAATGCATTATACATCAATGCAGAATAATATGAAGCTACATACTCTGTGCTGCTGCAGAGTGCCAGCCTAATATCTCTAGCGGAGGATCTCAGGTGGCTGTGCGGGGTCCCAGAAGGCTGTACATTGTTTATGGTGGGCCGTGCGGGGTCTCACGCGGGGTCTCACCAGGGGTCCCAGTTGGTCTCGCTGGTGACATGGTTCCAGAGGTAGGAGATTTTCTTGCCTGCGCTGTAAACAGGCGTCGAGATTCACAGGAAGGCTGCCGGGACCTTGGTAGCCTTCCGGTGAACAGCAGTGCCTGTTTACAGCGTCGGCTTTAGTTTAAACATTTATCTCTTTTTCATGTCAGAATACAACCCAGGTACTTGCAGCACAGAACCACAGACACGATGAAGTCATGTAAAACAAAACAGCTGAAAACCCCCCCCCCCACAAAAAAAAAAAAAGAAAAGAGGGAGGGGTCAGAGACAGAAACCAAGGAATGGAGGTCAATAAAGATGGAGAGAGTGCAGCTATCAGTGTTGCAGTGAATGGTACTGCAGCAGATGATTACTCTAGAAATGTACGGTTGTTACCCAGAGATTTCTTAAGCCTTCATTAGCAGCTGTACACCAAGACGAAGCAGCGTTACATCCAGAGCAGAGGAGGTGCCCGCAAGCCACACACAGCTTTGTTTTATTTCATTTACAAAAAGAGAGCAAAGGAAGATGTGGCATGTGGCCTTCAGGGTCTCTGACAATTTCTGCAGGAAATACATTGGATGTTTTCTTAATTTTTTTATTCTTACAAAAATGACATCCCAAACACATAGTGCTGCTACTGAAACAATAAAAGACAGCCAAACTCTAAACCACCTTTAAGAATGGATGTAATAATTTTGTTTTATGTCTCCTATGAGAGAAGAAAACACATCTAATAATAATAATAATAAAAAAGCAAAACAATATGTTAAAGTGATAATAAAAAAAAAAAAAGAGTAAGTGAGACATCTCACCTTTATATGTCAAGTTTCAATTAATAAACTCAGACCTGCAAAATACCTGTAATTAAGGGATCATCAGAGTATCTGATCTAAAGTGAGTACACACTTCTAACCTACTTTAGATCAGTCTCCAGCTATCTCGTTCAAATATTTAACCCGCAGCTTGCCCTCATTTTTCTTAAAGAGGAACTTTACCTTCAAAATAACAACAGGCACCTTTAGAAATGTTTAGTAATGTCAATCTACAAACACATACTTCTAGATAATTGCCGGCTTTTTATTCTTTGTATACCTTTTTTTTTCCTTTTCTTCCCAGTCTTCTGACAGTGGCCATTTTAACTAAGGACAGGTTACTAGATATCCCTTTACTACCTGGAACTCTGGCACATGTGACTAGGGCATGTGACCATGTACATTATCGCAGATGAGAAAAATGCCTTTCCCTGAGATCTCATGAGATTACAGATGAGATTTCCCAGCAATGCAATACTTGGGCACAATTACATAATTTGTGCCAAAGTGGACCAGGAAGTAGAAAAATTGGAGTTACGTACCTGGTAACTCTGTTTCTAGGAACCTTCCAGGACAGCATTAGAGAGATAGGCTCCTCCCACCGGAACAGGAAACACATCACCCACACTTAGAATAAAAAGGAGCACAAGCCTAGCACGCTTCAGTTAAAACATAAGAACCGAAGGATACCATAGTGCAACTCGTTCATAGAATTATAGATACATATACACATATATACACCCATAATAATACATAACATTACATTGCCTAGCAACGCATAGTAAATTAGTCCACCATATCGGGCGGGAATCCCTGCTGTCCTGGAAGGTTCCTAGAAACAGAGTTACCAGGTACGTAACTCCAATTTTCTCTAGTCACCTTCCAGGACAGCATTAGAGAGGATAAGCGAGCACCATACTCACAATCAGGGGGTGGGCCCACAGTTTACAGGGCTTTTTACCCGAAAGCCTGATCTTGGTTGACCGTTACGTCAACTCTACAGTATTTGACAACGTCAAGCCTGGACCAGTTAGCCCTGCTCTGGTGTAGCCCCTGCACGCTTAGCCCATTTTTCATCAAAGAGGGTAAAGGTCCACTTTAAATTCCACATTATGCAAACCAGGGATACATAAACTAAATCACCAACATTCAGGCAGAGGAAGCTGCGGGCAAACAAGGACCAAAAGTGCTGAATATATTTCACTAATGTACTGCTGTGACCAAAGTTAGCATATAGCAGGCTACTGCCTTCGCTGCACTCGGGAAGCATATTGTCAGGATCCACCCAGCTGCGTGATTGACAGCTGGATCTGCCTCTCTAGAACCATAGCTAACTGTGCCCACCTCCTTGGAGGAATAGAGAGGGGAATCCCAGTGTGGAGGAGTGACCGACAGTCACCACTCTCTGCAGGGAGAAGACCATGAGCTGAGCAATCAGCAGTCACACAATCGCCCTGCTGTCGACAGCTCCAGTGTCACGCGCTGGCTCTAGGAATTTAGAAAAGTATATTTTACTCTCCCAATACTTCTTTTAAACTGAATATACAGTATTTGCAAAACATTTTTTTATCAACACGGTGTTTAAAAAAACAAGCATATAAAAATAACTTTTAAAGCTAAAAACTGAAAAAATAACTCAAAATATGTGCCCATTTCAAAAGACACTACACTTCCCCTTTAATATCAAGACAAGAGTATAGCAAATAACACTACAAATAAGATAAAGATCTCAATTTGTGGTTGTGAGGTGCGAAGAACAAGCTAACAAGAGGAAACAATTGGTTCTTCTCAAACATGTAATTTCTTGGTAGTGTGGGTAGCTTAGTAAGAAATCACATGTTTGAGAAGTCTGAATAGTCCTTTTTAACGTAACAGGAAAGTTTAAGATCTTGAGTAAAGAACCAACACTGAATCAACACCTTGCAACTACTTGCAATCCCCTCATACATGACCTTGTGTTAATGATTAAATAAACTGCATCTTGTATAATGATCTTATGATGGCTATTTCTTATGATCTATATCATACCTCATTTTTATATAATTGTTATTTTATGTCCATGATTGCTTTTGGTGAAATGGAATACAAATTTTTGGAATAAGGGGGGTTTTAAACAGAGTGGAAAGGCTCCAAATTTCTTTTAAATCTCCTGTGTGTCCCCATTTGAGTTGAGATATTTTCATTCACATCCTATGATTTTATCAGGGACATGGACAGCAATAAAATGACCTACAACCTATGATGGCGAGTGCCATGAAGACAGATAGAGTGGGACATATCATAAGTGAGAGCACAGGCAGCAATAATCTCATTCCTTCCTTCCCTGATTTAAAGAATATCTAAAACACCAAAACAATGTAATATGTTGCAGTTTGACAGTTTTTAGATGTGGTGGCAGCATTAGTGTTGATTCCCAGCAATGTTCAGCAAGTACAGAAAATGCAGGTTGATCTTGCTGTAAATGTGTCATAAACACTTCTTGGGAGCTGCAATGAAGCTCATCTTTCTTCCTTGCTATCTTCTGTAAGCCATCACTTGTCCTGCCACCCATGTAATGAAGAAGATGAAGATATGAGGACATGTTTGTAGTCCATATCAGGAGAGCAGCCTGGGTGACAACTAAGGCTCCTTCTATAGCCCTCGGGGACAGGAAGTGTGTTATTCACAGGATTACCAGGTAAAAAGTAATAAAAAGCCCCCCAAAAAAACCCCAAATGCATGTACCTCGTTTAAGATCTGGTAAGCTGTGATATACAAAATGTCAGTTTTGGGGTTTAGATGTGCTTTAAATTGACTTAGCTTCAGCCGCCTTATGCCAAGTTTCTCCCAGAGAAACTTAAGCCTAATCTGTGAAATATGGTTACAAAGCTATGTTGCCAGTAATTACTTGATTGACAACAGCTTATTGCCATACAGGACACTTTAGGTTTAAATAAGAAGTATTAAATGAGGTTACTATGCTTTGTCTTCAGAACACTTGAAAACTCATACCACATTTATATTTCTCAAATGACTGTTAGTGGAGTACTGGTTCCAAATGTATGTGGTCTGGTATAATCCCTTGTTACAGGAGGCAGCTTCCTATCATAAAGTGATCAGACAAATTGTGACGAGTGAAACAGATAATCTGTCTAGTGCAAATGTATTTAACTCAGCAAGAGGTCAACTGATTACAGCCAACAAGTTTTGGACGATCTCCACTCACCAGAACTCAGGGTTAAAAACAGAAAAATTCAGTAATTTAATCTTGGGTGACAAATGAGAAAGCTCCACTGTTGGCTGGGCTCTGTGGTGACAGTGGGTTGAAGCCTTAGGTAGGGGGGATTGGA